GTCGTGTTAGGCTGCCATTAGGCTGAGGCTTTGGCATTTGTCTGTCATTTGCTATCAATATTTATGGCATTGCTTTGCTTTTATTATTTGGCAATTAATAATTTGTGTGGGCTGAAATGAAATTTCAATTTAATTTACGACTCGGTTCTCGGTTGGCACAAAGGAAAAACTAAAAGTCAAATGCCAGGCGAAATGCATTTTCTTGTCAAGTGTCAAAAGCAGAAATGCAACGGCCCAGCTTTGGCCAGTCGGTTGCACGGACTGCTGGAGTCCTACTTGGGCCATCTCCTCGGAGTCCTCGGGCTCCGTATGCAACAGCAGACCAATAAACAAAAGCATTAAACCCATAAAACAGGGAACATGGCACTCACGAGAATTAACACTACATTATTCACAATGCAATTTCGAAAAAAATGTTTCAACCCGAAACGGATGCGACTCGGTGAATGTGAGTGTGTAAGTGTATGAGTGTGAGTGTGAGTGTGAGTGTGAGTGTGAGTGTGAGTGTGAGTGTGACTGTGAGTGTGAGTGTGGGTGTGGGTGTGAATGTGGGTATGTGTGCAATGGCTCACATGGGTGCTTTACATTGCCTGTGGCCTGAAGGGAGGCGCGCTTCTCTCTGCGGGCTACGCCGTGTGTGTGTAGTTGTGGGCGTGGCAGCTGCACCTTTCGCTGAACTTTTATTGTTTTGCATTTTTATTTTCATTTTCATTTCCATTTCGCTTTTTTTTCTGGCAAAAATGTGAAAAATTAAAAATATTGTGCTATATGCGTGCATTTATATATGTATGTATATAAAAATTTCGTTGTATTTTTTACCGGCGTTTGCTTTCATGCATATTTCCCACAACACATTTGGAGTCGAGCAGCGGCGCTTAAATCATCCAAAAAGCGGGAGCAGCAGGAAGCGCAGGACAGGGACAAGCCCGTTTGCAGTTAGTTTGCCACTGAAGTTGGGCTTAACCCATCAGCAGCAGCATCAGCAGCAGCAGTAGCAGCAGGAGCATCATAGCTCTGCCTGAGGTGCATCTGGAACCGAACCCCAACCCTAGCACCCACGCCAACCCAGCATCCAGTTCATCTACCAACCTATACCAACCGTGTTGATTTATGTTCAGAGTTTGCATTCATTTATCATTACACTTGAAAGCATTTCCGCTTTGTTCCTTTTATTATGTATGTATGTACATATATATGCTCATGCATAGATGAGGGCGGAGCGCGGGCAGCTGCGGAAGATGAGCAAAAAGGTAATACCTTTAATGCAAGCTATGTTTCATATTTCGCTGATTGTTGTTGCTTTTTATTGCAGCTGCCAAATGGGCTGCTTATCATCAATGTAAGCGCTTGGCGCATCGCAACAAGTAAGCAAAAAGCTTAAATATTAATACTCCATTATACACACTCACACACTTGCGCCTTGTTCGAATTTAAATCAAATTTTAATATATGAAATTTCATGAAAAAAAATGTATGGTAAATCCCCTTTTTTCCAGTAACTAAATAAGAGTGATATGATTTTTGATAATTATTTTCAGCTGCTTTTTAAGCTATTGATAGTAAAAAAAAACTTATGAATATCCAGCAAAATTGAATTATAAAATTTGTTAAATCTATTTAAAGTGAAAAATAATAATAATAAAATAAAATAGAATTTATTTTTGCTATCTGAGAGTTTGGCTCTAAATATAACAAAATGCTAAAACCAGTAGCTATATTACTATATTGTTATTTGAAATATCTGTGCAGCACACTGAAGGATTTTCGGTTGCTCTTGAATTTCATTTCACCTGTATAAGAGCAGACTTCAACTCTCACAAAATCACTGCTTATAAATCAAATCATAACAAATCAAGTCAAAAACACTTTCTATTTAAATTCAAAATTAAACCAATTTCAGCGCCATAATTTATGCATATTTAATTTAAATATTATGCAAGAAAATACAAAACAAAAAAAGAGAGATGAAAATGAAAATGCTGTCTGCTTAGAGATAATTCACATATTTGCTTTTAATTAAAGGCAACAATTTAACGCAATTCCGTAGACAGACGAGAATTTCATCATTGGCAAATTTAATGTGAGGAAAACATGAAAATTTCTAATATTCATAACTAATAAATTGCCTCTGGCATTTTTGATGCAGTTCTTGGTTACATTTTGGGCCAGGTGCAAAATTAATATACGTTATCTTTGCATAAGTTGTGTGCATGTGACAAATAATTCCCACTGATTTACAGCCATGCAGCAGGCAGCAGGCAGCAGGAGGCATTTGGCATGCGGCTTGCAACATGATGCATGCAGCTACTGGGAACGCTCGGCAGGCTTAGGCAGACCCAAAATGCCAAATGCAGCTGCAATAGAATGCCCGCAGCCAGGCCTACCATATAGACACAGAGAGAGAGACGAGAGAGGAGAGAGAGGGAGTGGAAGTGGGAGTGAGAACCGGAGCCGGAAAATTCATGGCCAAATGCGATTACCGTAAAGATGAAAATTGAATTTATATATGTACGAATAAATAGAAGGCAAATATATATACATATGCAGCCGAGAGCCAAGGCAACACGTTGCTTTTGATTAGTTAATTAAAACGTCGGCTTATATTTGCGAAATGAACTCAACATTTATGAATATCATATAACAACGTATGTGCGTCATTGACAAACGTCTGCACTTAAATCACAAAGCTTGACAAAGATACTTAATTACCTAATTGAATAGAAAAGACTTGACCCGTGCTGCAATCATTAGATGACAATTTGAGAGAAAACTCGGTGAATTTCGTTGTCTCACTTTGCATTTACATAATGCGAGTCGCTCTCTCCAATCTAAATTAAAATCAACGACCAGCTAGCATTTGCATTAATTAAACTCATCCGCTTGCGCCCCAGAAAGTATTGATTGCGATCATTTCTTTTCACCGGCCAGCAGCCAAATGGACTTTTGCTATATCATATCAAAAGCGAAAAATTGCAGCACGAAAAACGACGAGAGCAGGAGCTGGCAAGAGCTTGACGGAA